TCTGAGGATCCCCTTCCTTACATCAGGCTCTACTGCCGCATATGTCTTTCTCTATTCATCGTTCTACTTCTCCAAGCTCGAATCGAATCTCCCCATTACCTACTTCCTCTACTTTGGCTACATGGGTATTATATCCTTTGGTATCTTCCTCTTTACCGGCACTGTGGGCTTTTTCGCTGCTCTTTGGTTCAATGTCGTCATATTCGGTTCTATCAAAGTTGACTAAATGTAGCGGCACCTCTAGCCTCCATCCATGCGTTGTTTCTCACGAACTTCCTGTTAACTGGCACAGCTGGCGTGCTTTAAATGATGGTCCTACACTTAGCCCAAGGACCTAATCAATCATAACCAGAACCCAACCCCGCCGCCAGCCGTCGAAATGTTGCGCGCGGCAAGGGCCGGGGGGGCGAGACTCGGGCGTGCCCCAGGCCGCTCGGCGTCAAATTACGCGCTAGTCGCGGTGATTGACGCCATGAATTGCGAGGCCTAGGATATCCGCTTAATTTACGAATGCGGGAAATACCACGCTGCAGAGTCAAAGCCTAGTGTGGCGGGATTGCCGCCTTCAATATCTACCTTTAGCTTAGCTTGAAGCTGGAATTGCAGTGCACATATCCGCCCTATTTATCTCACTGTGCCTTTCGTCGGTGGATATGCGTCGCTGTATCTTCCGCTTTTTCTCTTATCTCACATCTAGCGAAGGCTGCCTACTCGGGGCCGGGCCGGCCGTCCGGCCGTCCCGAAGCTGATAAACGGCGACTATCGAGGTCAGAACGCGAGTGTGATTAAGCACAATCAAAGGGCGCTTGGCGATAAGCCAGCTACCTAGGGAGCCTACATTCCGCTCCTTGGGCTATGCTACCCTAACTCGGGACTATGCTATCCTCCCTATGCTGGGACGCTCATACTGGCCTATGCTGGCTATGCTAAGTCTGCCTTATGCTGGCTATGCTCATGCTATACTATGCTGGTGCTTCATATTAGCATACTCGGATTCTAACACGGTATATACTTTTTCTTTTTCGTATCCATTGCTCATGTGCATTGGTAAAGTTTGTGTTGTGACTTGATGGTCCGTTCGGCTCGCAGGTTTTCCGATAGACGCGTCGCGTTATCTTGGATGGTGCTTGGTCCTATGTCCTGTCCATGTCTTGGCTGGACGTCTCCACTAGACCTTAGCGGCGCGATGTGATTTCGAGAAAATCAATGGCGCGAAGAGGCGTCCGCCAGTGGTGAACGACACCTTTGGAGAGCTCTATCTCGGCGCGATCACCACCTATTTGCTTGATTCTGGTTGCATCTGAAAGGCGGCAATGCCGTTCTAGTAGCGCATCCAATGCCAAGGTTCAAGAACCAAGTAAAGTCTTGTATGTATCTTACGTCCCCGCCTCGTATCTTGATGTCTTGGATCGAATGTCTGACATAAATGCGGCGAATCGTGAGCAACGCAACCAGGCAGAAGCAGCGTCGTTCAGGTTGACGCGAGAACACTGTATAGCCGAGAAAGGGTACAGGGCAGTGCGTGAACGGGTCTCGGCAATTAAGGCCGCGGCAACGGAACATCTAGAAGCAGGCCGCGTTGACGTGGCATTATCCGGTTACCTCATGGGTATTCACATGTGTGTCGGCGGCGATTATCCCAACACCATATGTCCTGCGACGTCACCAACGCCTACGGGCAGAGTCTTAGTGGGCGCACTTCGATGTCTCTGTGCGTGCAGATATTTGTAATTATCTTTGCTGTGCCTCGAACATTTCTTTGTGCCTAGGTCAGCTCGCAGATGGTGTGGATCCCGCTATGCTCATTTCACTACGTCTGAACGTGACCCTGTGTTGCTTAAAGCGCGAAGACTGGCTGCCAGCGGCGGAGGTCGCCTGTACGGTGGGCTTTCTTACCGCATTCTCCTTTTACCCCAGTGCATCTCGCTGGCATAGGTTATAGATGAAGCTGGAGACACTGCATCACGCACTAAGGCCTGGCTTCGTCTCGCGAAGGCCCGGGGCGAGATGGGGTACACCGGGTATGCTGAGCGGTGCCTGAAGAGAGTCACTGTTGCCGGTACAAAGCCAGATGCTAAAGCGCCTTCAAGACGCGCGGCGCATGAGGCGCTCGCCTACCACAAGGTTCTCAAAGGGAGAGAGGCCAAATCCAGACTGAATTTCCAGAAGACTTTTGAAAGCAAAGATAGCTTCTACGACGAAGAGGAGCAAGTGCAGCTTCGGAAGCAAGCAAAGTTGGATGCGAGGTTACGCGCGAGGGCTCACGCAGAACAGAACCTGAGGTACACGACGCAAACTCCATCTATGGACGAATCACCAGTGATTGACTGGCATTAGCTCGTGCGTCTCCTCATGCTTCCCAAAGTTCCCACTTTATTAGGTCCAAGGCGTTCAAGGAGCGAGCAAATGCCGATCCAAATCATGAGCGGAATGTCATGCTATATCGGCTTAGCGCATCAGACGCAAGACTGTACAATGCAATGGAAGATTCCGGTGCAAGTGCTCTGCAGCTAGAAGAGTTTTACATGGCTAACAGACGGAAGGAACGGAACCGCATCGCAGCTCTCATGAGTCACGAAGATAGAGATCGGTTTCAGCGACTCTTAGTGCGGCAGTCAGAGCCAATGAGTTCATTTTTCATCCGCCCATCCACTCTCGCCCGTAAGGCGCAAGAAGCTAGCCATCTTGAGCTCGACAATTGCTTCGACGATATCAAGCGTGTAACTGAGCTCAGGGAGCAGGCGCGAACCACCAAATCAATGTGGTTTGACAATGAGGAGTGGCCTGCAAACAAGAATTGTTCTCCCAAACCTGGGGGCGGACGGCTAAGGGAGCGATGTTCATTGGACCTTATTACGAGCGAGACTCCAGTGTATGCGAGTTCGTTTCGCGAGATTTATTTACGTCAACAGGCGAAGAAAAGCTTCATCCGATGCCTGACATGTCCACATGGCAATTCCGGCCGAAGCGGGAAGAAAAAGGAGGGGAGATGACACCCCAAGAAAGAGTCGACCTCCAGCTTAGTATCGACCGGCAAATGGAACAAGCTGGCCTCGCCTACCCCACCTCTCCAATCGATGATTTTTTGAACAAGTGGAAGCTCCGAATACTTGCTGCTTGCGCTCGAGCCCGTCGTTTCATCAAACATGCATGGGTTGTCTTTAAATATGGAGGCCAGGAGACTCACAATCAATTTCAAATCCCGACGTCAGGATGAGCGCCCTCTCCCCTGCGACGACCCCCACCAAGACCCCTGTGAAAGCCGACGGAACATCTGTAGTATCTGCGGATAAAGATGAGTCTGGAAGCAAGGGTGACACTGGCAATGACCAGTAATGAGCCCCGGCGCTCCTCGGGCCCATCTCCGCCTTCGCTCGCGCCGGTTTTTTGGATGTGGCACCTAAGCTCCACTCTACTGTGAAGCCTCTGCCGCTCTAGAGCAGAGTCGTGATCGAAGAAGAGTTCACTCCCCCCCCAAAAAAGCGACCGACAAGGCTCCAGGACAGGAGCCCCCCCCCCCCCCTTATAGCAGCCGGAATACCAGGTATGGGCCTGGCGGGGCGGATATATGCCAGTATATACCGCCGGAACGGCAAATACTCGGCATTTGCCGGTATTTGCGGATTGCTCCGATCCATCTGCGGTCTCCCGGCCGAGTCGGGCCCTCGCGCGCCGTGCCAGTGCCATTGCGGCACGCACAGGCGCCTTTCGCGTGATAAGAGAGGGCAGCGCGCCGGTCCCTCTATGGTCTCCCGGCTCCGCGTCGAGCCACCGCGCGCCGTGCCGGTCCCAATGCGGCACGCACAGGCGCCTTTCCGATGATTAGAAAGGGCGGCGCGTCGCGTGCGTCGGCTTGAAGGCGCGCGGTCACGAACGGGGCGAATTCGAGCACGCGTGCGCGCGCGTGGCGCGCGGCATGGCGCGACTCGTCGCCGCTGAGTTCTGCAGCCGAGCCGTACCCGTCTGCGGGATGATGGTCGCCCAAAACCGAAATACCCGGCATGGGAAAGGGCCCGGCCGGGTATATACGGCAAATGCCCATACCCATACCGGCATATACCCCTCGAGATACTCCGGCCGCCATATGCCCTTCCTTCGCTCGCGGCTGCCGGCCGGAGCGACGAGAGGGACTCGCTTGGAGTAGCACCTTCGAGCACCTAGAACCTCGACACAGGGACCGCCTCGCGCGAGCGGGAGAGGGACGGGGAAATAATCTCAGCTTCCACGTTTTCCCAAGACGAGCGAGCTGCAGTTTTGGAATGCCCGACCCCGATCTCCCACTCGAGGTGTGCTCAGTTCCTCTCCCCCTAGCCTGGAACACGCCAAAGAAGACAGCAGCAGGGATCGTGCGACCATCATATGACAATATCCAGCCACTTTTTGGAAAATTATAAATAGGTTAATGTTGCGTTCTGGTCGTCGATTGGTAAGTGCTGGGTAGTTCTTTCTGATTCGCATGTCGCACCATCACGCGGTGCGGGGACTCGACGGCCGCGTCGGCCGCGAGCTCTTCGGCGGTCGGAACGTGTCGGAAGTACCTCCTGTCCGTCGATTTGGAGTCGTGCTTCTTCGTGAGGTAAAAGCCGTGGTCGTGGGACTCGCGTTCGTAGGGAATCAGCTAGCCACGTGCCGGCGTCGTCCTTTGTCGCGAAGCGCGACAATCATGGCCGCTGGATCTCGTTCCGGCCCCACATGTCGCTCGGTGGGCTTGACTCGAGGCTCGCTCGGCGCCATCGAGGCCGCTTCGCCTTACGCTATACGCGTTTTTAATGGGGCGGACCCCCATCTGCAAAATTAAAAAGGGCACAGGACCCGCGGCCAAGTCTCTATTTGCAAGGACTTTCTGAAGATGATGAGCGCAGGCTTGCTAGTATGGTCAGCTCGCTTATGTGGGATTGGCTGATGAGGCCCGAAATAAGATCTTCCCAGTCGCTGGATTCCCCGCTTGACGCGAGGGGGGTTGCGGCTTCGGACCTCCCTTCCGCAGCGGCGGATGCGGCGGACGCGGCGGATGCGGCGGACGCGGCGGACGCGGCACGGAACCATCATTCGGTTCCAACACGTAATCTCACGGATAAAAAAGAAGATCTCTGATGCAGAGTGACACGCGCCCCGTCCGTAATGCTATAATTGAGACAGTTCGCGAACTAGTCTAGCGTCGTGGGCATTCTTGGCCAGGGAATGCCGGGCCGGCTCGAGGTGTACTTCGGCCAGGGCTCGCCCTACGCCCAGGGGGCGGGTCGAACTTTTCAATTCTGTCCACATTATGAGGCCTGGCTCGGTGGCTGACACGGGCAGGTATTGCGGGTGACCTCATCGGTGACGGAGAAGCTGCTGCGCCACCTTTGCTTCGAGGAAACCGACTACGACAAGGCGGGTTCGGAGACGGGCTCGTCAGACACCTCAGAAATAAAAAGTTACGTCCGTAAGTACTCCCGGAATCCGAGATAACATACGGGGTACGTCCGAGCTACTTATATGCACTAGACGACGTGGCTAGGCCGAGTCCTCAGTCGCGGCGGTGTCCACGTCGGAGTCGGGCTCGGCCGAGCCCGCAGTCGCGGCGGTGTCCACGTCGGCGAGTTCGCTGTCCTAAGCTGCCGCCGCCCCCAGACTTCGGCGCCCGACCGCAGCGGCTTGTCGGAGGCCGCGGCGAGGGTTGTGTAGCTGGAGATCCTGGAGCTCAAGAATCGGCCGGCGGCTTAGCAACCGTGCGCTAAAATACCTGGCATGGGCCTAGCGGGACATATGCCGGCATATACCGGCATCTATATTCTATTTGCAGTTGCGCGAAGCCTGTGTCCGAGCAGCAACTTAAGACTTTTAATGAGCGCAGCGAGCAACCTCAATCAGACGAGGGGCCGACGGCTCGCGAAGCGAGCCGGCCAGCCGTAGGCCAGCTTATGTACCGGCAATTACGGAGTATTCCGGCCCCTCTCCTGTCTCCAAGCTCCGAGTCGAGCCGCCGCGCGCCGCGCTGGTCCCACCGCGGCACACCCTCGGCTACAAGCGGCGGGTAATCTCCGGGTAAAATAATCCACGTAATTACCGGTAATCCCGATTACCCGGGTAATTACCGGTAAAATACGGTGTACCGGGGCGGCTAGGGGCAACATGGCGGCTCAAAAGGACCACCGCGAACCCGCGTGTCGACCGAATTCTCTTTTAGGTGCCTTCCACGCGACAACGCCGGCGGCGCGCTACGGCGCCGGGGCCGTCGCCCGGCGCGTTCGGCGCGACGTCGCGACGAGCAGCCGCTCGGTCGCGGTTTCGCGCCGCGCGTCGACCTTGATGCGGAACGCGACCGCGACGGTCCGCGCGTCATGATCGCAGGCTACCCGTCCTTGCCGGTGCTCGGCGCGCTTCGGTATTACCCGGGCCGGGAATTTGGCCCTCGTCAATACCGCGGTAATTACCGGTAATTACCATACCGGTACCGAGGCGGCTCGTGGCTTTACCGGTAATCGACGCTCCATACCCTGGGCGACGTAGCTCGCATAGGCTCCGGCGGGGCTTTTACAACGATAGGGCCGGGCGTCGTTGTCGGACTCGGTGTCCGAGGGGCCGCGCGTCCTGATGGTAGGCTACCCGTCCTTGATGGGCGCCGCCACGCCTTGGTAATACCTGGGCCAGTAATATGGCCCTCGGTAATACCGCGGTAATTACCCACCCTGCTATAAGGGGCGGGCTCGTACTCTTTTAATTAGGCGTTTAATTGGGCCGCGAAAGATGTCATCCATAGAGTGGGCTCGCTCGCAAAGGACCGCGATTTTCATAGGTTGATGTTAGAGCTACAAGATGGCCAAGTTGGCCTTAGGTCGCTCCGGGCGATCCAAGACAAGCCCAGGGCCATCTGCCCGGCGCCTTACATCGGCGAGTGGGTTGTGCGGATGACCATCTTTTGCTCGGTCAGCTGCTAGGACGCCGGGGAAGGCTGGGAGCTGCAACAAGAAGCGGAGATGCTCGGCGTCGTGGCAGCATCCTCGGCATACCTCTCCTGTGCGAAGGACACGAATGCGCACATAGGCTTCCACGAGTCCCGGTAGGCCTTCAGCGCCTCTCTCCCTTCCTACTCGCCATGCACCTGTGTTTCGCCGAGTGCACGCAAGAGCTGCCCAAGGGCAAGTTCCCTGGTATACGCACCTTCCCATTGGGCTGCGCCCCTGCTACGGCGGTGGCGCTCGGTGTTCCAGTCTTCGCACTCTACTACTTCGCGCTCGCTGTGGCTGGCACCCTCTCGCCGGTTCCGGTTTTGAGCCGGGGCGATGCACGTCCGCGGGCGCAGAACGGCAATTTTGCTTTCGAGAGTCAGTCGCGCGCCGCGCCGGGCGTCGAGGACGCGGGATAAACCCGCAGGGACGTCAGTGCCGTGAGCAACCATCAAAACCATAAGTTTGCTCAATCAAGCTAGAGATCGAATATTTCCGGTGGAATCGAGTAGTCTCCAGCGGCTCCAGCGGTATACCCCCAGTGTCAATCACAAAAAAATTCAGCAGCCCCTTATATGCTACCGTCACAGTTTGACACATCGAACGAAACTGACCTCCCCTGTGCTGTTTTCTGTCCGATTGTAGGTCCGAATCCCCGTGCGCGTCGCCGTCGTCGTCGTCGTCGGCGGCGGCGGCGGCGGCGGCGGCGGCGGCGGCGACGACGATGCTGCTACTACTCTAGATGAATCTGCGCACCTGTCGTGCACTGACGACGACCTATGCGTCGCCTCAGAGTAACCTCCTGTTTTGCGACCTAGGGCGCCGTGCGTAATTTGCCTGGCCTGATGCCCAGGCCTCTGGGGGCTGGTGCTCGACGCCCAGGTCCGAAGTCCAGGCCTCACGACGCGCACTAAGCGTGCCGTGGACGGGCAGCTGAGACGACAAATCCGACCGGAAATCTACCCGGAACACCGGGACGCGCCGGGACACGACCGGAACACGGCTGGAGTACGCGAACCGGAACACGCGACCGAGGGGCCGGCCCGGGAGAGCCGGAAGCCGGAACATCCGCGGGGCCTCTATCGGAACATCGCAGCCGGAACATCGCAGCTGGAACATCAGCGCACTTTGTGATTGACACGGCTAGCACCCACCACCACCACCACCACCACCACCACCACCGCCACTGCCACTACTTCTACCTAATCCCCACTCTTAGCCATTAACTAGGCTATAGTCCACATATAGTCCACGCTATGTTGCAGCCCTAATTCACACCATGGTGCGCGCGTGGGATGTCCGCCGCGGTGTCCGCAGGGTCCGCTGGGTCCCCGCGGTGCCGCGACGACGTTCCTTCGTCGCGCACGACCGAGTTCCGGTGCGCAGGTCGCTGTAACATGACGGCGCGCCGGGCTGCGAAACTCGCTTTCGAGAGCGTCCGAGCGCGCCATGAGCTCCACGAAGCGATCCCAGCGTCTGTGGCTGCCCGTGCTCGACGCGCTGAGTTGCCTGGGGCCCTGCGCGGACGAGCGCGCCTTGTGGACCCCCAGAAGACGGTGATCATCCCATGGTAGTGCGCGCGAATGAATGGGTGCATATGCAGCCCTTTCTCGGCGCATTTTTGCCACAGCGTCTATCGCCAAAATGCAGCGGCGCGCGCGCCGATTTTCGCCGACCCGCTGCCGATGGCTTGGCAGTGCGTGTCCCTCGGGTGTGACCAATTTTGATGCACTAAAACTCAGATCATCACATGTAGAACCTTCTATCATCCGTATAGTCCACTGATTATCCACGAAAACATAGCCTATTTTATTTAATAGCCTAGTTAATGGTTAGAGCACTCACCTCAGGTCATCACGACAGTAGTCAAGGTATTTTGCATGTGTGTATCAATTTCACAAAAATAAATTCTGAGAGGGGGAGGCATGCCGCGTGAGCCACGGCAGACCTCGCAGCCGGTTGACAAGCCAGTGGGCTTGGTCCGTGCTCAGTCTGGGATGCCAACTATTTTCTCGCGAAACGTACTGCGTATTGGCCAATCGGAGCGAAAACCCAAATGGCAAGTCAGTTTCGCTACGGGCAAGCACAACGACAGTCAAGGGAAGGACAGTGGCCATCGCGGTGATATGCCGACGTCCAGGCTACCGCCATCTGGATCGCCGATTCGATCCATCCTGCGACAAGAGTCACGACGCTGGTCGACGTCTGATCGAGCGACTGATAACCTGCGTGGTCAATTGAAACGTCGCATCTCCCTGTCAACAAAACTTTTCAGCGGGCATATCGGCGAGGAACGTGACCTTAAGTCCCCGACGAACCTCTTTGGGAAGAAAAACACCAGAGAGAAGCGAGGTAACTGGCCAGAGGAATCAGAACTGAGAGTTCGCATGCTCATGTCTGCAGAGATGTACGATCGTATTATACGTGCTCAAAAGCAGGAACGCGATCATGACTCCATGGTGAATCAATTTAAATTGCGTACAACACCCACCGGTCTGCAGGGTGACTCTATGTGGATAAATTTTGCTCTGAGTTCACCTCAAGGTCTTGGGATGTTGGCGCCACGAAAACATTGGTCATCGAATGGCTGGTCCCATGCGGCTAGGGTCGCTCTCCTGCTGACGACTCTTGGTCAGGAGCGTGATCTCTTGACCGCGGGATGCCGCAATGGGAAAAATGTCCACATTGCGGCACAATTGCGCGAACAGCAGATTTTAAACTTCATGAAAAACAGTTGCTCAGAGCTCGTTTTGAATATTGCCAACTACTACCAGATCGCCGCCGAGCTTGCCGAACTGAGGTCTATCTCAGAGGCATTTCTGCAACGGTCCAACGCAAACTTGGACATGCATAGCCAGCACGAGATACTCTTCCCGTTTAATTCACTTGATACGCTGAGGATACACCTCGAAAAATTACAGGCTGCGGAGGCTACAGATGGTTGGCACACCTGTGTTAAAAAATGTGTCTCTCAAAATTTGTGGGCCACAAATCGTGGCGATGATAGAACTCTAGATGCAATGTCCAACCATCGGCCTTGTATCCAGGCCTTCCAGCCAGAAAGCGGGGGCGTGCTTGCTTGGGAGGCGTTCATACTTCTGCTTGTCCACTGTCAGCTTATCATGGTGCCGTTCGTGCTTTCGTATCCCATGCAACGACACGAGGTTTTTTTTGAGCTCATCGCAGAGCTGTTTCTTCTGTTGGACATAGTAGTCCAGTTCAATATAGCCTATTTTGCACCTTGCGAAAAAGTTACTGAGATATCTTCGATGGAATCGATCTCAGATAGCCCTTCTATTAAGAAAACCTCGACCCTCGTCTTGGATCGGAGGCTTATCGCCCTGCACTATGTCTCTGGATGCACGTTCTATCTTGACGTACTATCCGCTTCACCTATTGTAGTTTCCATCATTACGATTATTGACGGTAGATTGGGTTATAAGTACGCTCCTGTGAAGCTTCTGAAGTATGTCCGCATCTTCAAAATGGAACAAATGTCGAGTGTTATCCGGAAGCTACCACGTTATCTGTCCGTCCAGCAGCATGCACGGCAGTCGAGCCGCTACACATCTATCCTTAAGCTAGCTAGTCTGCTATTGGGTATAGCTGTCACCATGCATATACTCGCCTGCATCTGGCATCTCATTACCCCACAACATCACTGGGAGCTCCGCTATAATCGCCACAGTGCCGAGTTCCTAACGTACTCGAAACTTCAACGACGAAGGCTGTATCTCATGTCTTATTACGAGTCTATTCTCATTCTCATGGGTGAACAGATTGCCATGTCGCAAGTTAAGGAATATGTTTTTGCGATCATCTCGACAGTTCTGTTCTCGTTCCTCCTGGCAATCATCTTTGGCGAAGTCGCAATGTTTACTGCAAACTTCAACGAGCTCCCTTTCGCTTATTCCCGGAAAATGTCCGAGCTACATGAGAGCATGAGTACCAAGTCCCTGCCCTGTGTTCTCCAGGACCGCGTCTATGCTTTCTATGACTTATTATGGAGGGAACATAAAACCCTTGATGGCAAGCTCAAGATCTCCCAGTTTCTGCCTGAGCTCACATCCAATCTGGCCATTGAAGTGCGCCTGTTCTGGTGTACAGACATGCTATTAAGTGTCCCTTTGTTCAAGATATTCCCCGCCCCGGTTGTTCAGCGCCTCGTTATTGCCGTCGACATCAACTTCTTCATGCCTGACGACTATATCATCGTGGCGGGTGAGATTGGGCATGAAATGTTCTTCTTGAAGAACGGGAAAGTCGACGTATTTCGTGTTGATGAGACAGAGGTAGAAATCTCTGACAACTTTGGCGGTCATATGCATTCAACGCGACACCAGATGGCCGCCGATGACCAGAGGCGCATCACGGGACGTAGCTTCATTGACTCGGCAAAATCAATATCAACTGGCGTAAAAAACGTTGCCTTACAGGGTGTGAGTTCGGTGAAGCAGGCAATCCCGGTGCGGAAACGTGGAGATCTTCAGAGCTCTGCCAGCATAGAAACGGAAGCCCAATCTCATTCGCAATCGACATCAACTTATCACTCGCAACCGACATCAACTTTATCGTCTCAACAAAATGCAGAGTTTTGCAGTAGATCAGAGCCGAGTTCTAGAACCACCTCGTCTCCTACAGAAAAAAATGGCCATTTGACCGATAGTGCATTGACTTCAACCATCGATCTATCAGCAGCGCGGAAGCCATATAAGCTCTATACCAACCGCTCCAGTACGGTATCTAACCGTGCTCCCATGGCTGTTATTTGCGCGCGCTCTCAAAAGTTGACAGGGATGAAGGGGGTCGATCGGGCAGTGCATGTACGCCGGATGCAACGTGAACAAATTCTGGCGACGCTCAAACCGAGAACATTTTTCGGGGAGATTGCCCTGGTCACTTGCTGCCCAAGAACCGCAACAGTCAAGGCCCGTTCCTTCGTTGAATGTGCTACCATTTTGCGCCATGATCTCGAAGGCATGCTCACTGATCATCCAAATATGTTGCGCCGCGCCACAGCCATGGTCCAGTCTGGTTACTATGCGGGCTTTCTTAAACGGGGAAAATCGAAATGCAAAATTGATTCTGGCGTAATTGTTCCCACGGTTATGCAGGAAAACCCTGGAATCGGCCCGAGGCCGCATAAGGGAAGCATTTTGCAACCAACAGCGTCCATCTCCTCAGATGTTTTGGGTCACCTTGGACAACTGGAACGTTCCATGCGGAAATTTCTCGAAGGAAAATCCACAAGCACAAGCCTTTCGATCCCAGCAGCCCNCCAGGCACGAGGTCGTAGAGTGGAGGGCCGCAAGGCTGGGGGCTTATACAAAACCCGCGAGCTATTTCTCGACACTGAACACTGGCCACGTTTATGTTGGGGCGTAGCCCGGGCTCCGGTTGCTAAACGCCGGCCATGTTTGGTCGAGCCTCGGCCAGCTCCAGCTGGAGAGCCCATGGGTGGGTGCTCGACCCGGGGCCTGGGCACTGCACAAAGCGGGTCGAGCAGGTAGATAAAATGGCGAAACAAGGGCGGGGTCAGCAGCGGTGAGGTGCTGCCCTTCATGCTTTGAAGAACATGGCCTGAGGACGTAGCTGGTGCGAGAAGACAACCGGGCTGCTCGCAGATGCTATTTTTAGGGTGCGGTGCCGTCTCGTTGAGTGTCTCCTGCAGCAGAAACCACCAGTTAAATGTGTGCAGAAAATACCATATAACTTTTTTAGTTAAATATAGCAGCTGGGACAAATTCTTGACACTGGAAAATTCCTTGTACCAGGGGGGGGCGTATTTTCTTTCCAGCCTTTGCACAAGGCTCACTTCACGACCCTTGTACTTCTCCATTATTGCATCGATTTCGGCTATCTTGGACCGGTTATGCTCGAGATAAAATGCCAACAGCCAGCCTTTGAGCCTGGGTCGACTCCAGCTGGCCACGCGGCTTTCAACCTCCAAGAGTTCAGTAAAGAGTGTTGATGCGCTTTGATCCAATCGCTTCTCCTCGCTCGACATACCATCATCTTCAAAATCGCTGTTACAGGCTGCATCGTGTTTCATACAATGAAGCTGCGACAAGAGTGGCTCGAAAGGGGTAGCATGAATAGCCCCCCATCCCAAGCCGCCTTGAAAGCCGTGCACGCTGCAAGATTCAATAGTATCGCATAAATCGTCCGGTTCGACGATCAAATCGTCAGCTCTGTAGCCTCCGAGGCTCGCCTGATCTGCCATGCGCTGCCAGTCTTCACCGCAAATTTGCACAAGTAGGTAGGGGACAAGTACTAGACGATTATAAACTTGTTCCCACCGCTTTTGAGACTCGGAAGGTTGAAATGACAAAGGACGAAGTACAAAAAAGATGTGAGGTTTGACCACTGTAGCCACATACAAAATACTTGCGAATGTTGTAAATACGCAATGATACTTCCAGTATCACCAGTGATACTCTTCAGTATCACCATGCCGCATCGGATGGGCGGAATCGCTGCGGCGCGAGGGCGGGGCAGCCCGTGGCGACGATTCGGCGGCTCAGAAGCCTGGTACGGCTGAAGGCGATGGTACAGCCCGGCCGTGGGGAGACCTGGGACCTCCTCCTCGCGTCCCTGGCGCTGGAGGTGATGTGTCCTTCGCGGTGCAACACGCGGGCCGCCGCGGTTCCCGAGCACCGACCACAACAACCCGACGGCTTTGAGCACCACGACCCAGCCCTTGCGACGAAACGATGCGGAGGTGACGACAATCGATCCATGACGCTGCGCAGCCTCGAAAACTGCTCGTGTAAAGGGAATAAAGCCTTCACTATGATAACCACAGCTAAAGCTTCGCGCACGCAATAACTGTCCGTTTCGTTTTGCAAGGGGAGGAGGGCTATGGAGAGCAGTTAGATGCAGAAAAATACGCCATGGTGGGCGGAGGTGTGGGGACTGGGCCAGGGAGGCTTCTGCGACAGCGCCAGCGGCTCGTTGATGTTCAACGTGACTTTTGAGGGCAAAAGTGACGGTTGCGATGCGCCGCGGCTGGGCCAGAAGCGTCGTCGTCTCGTGCGTGCGCGGACGTTGTTAGACTTGATGTACGAGGTCACATCGTGCGTGTTGTTTGACGTCGTGCGTGCGCTGCGGCGCCCGCACCGCCTGCGGTTTGAAGACCGCTGACGGCCGCGCACGAAGGCGCGGGCGTCGAGCCCCACGGGCACCGCCTAACTCGCCCCGCAGAGCCGGGAACGAACACCACACATCATCATAGCCGCTCGCGCTCGACGAACGATCGTTGAGGTTACGAGTTTCGTTCGTCTGTCCGCGCGCGCGGCGCGCCGGCTGCGCTCGTTTAACCGAGACGACCTCGGCCGCGATCGCGCGCGACTCACGTCGCCCGACGGCGCAGACCCGCCGCGCCCGGGTCCGCATGGGTTTGGTACACCCTACGAACCAATCTTCTGGCCGAGACGCGCGCGCTGACGCGCGAAAACGGTGTTTCGATTCGTTTCGAAAGCCCCCGGGGGGGGTCCCACGCGCGGCGCGCGGCACCAGCGTCGAGTTAGCGTACGTAGAATATTTCCCACCTGAGGAATACCCCAATTGAAGCGTCGGTCCAGACCGCGTCGATTTTGGTTTCGATGGCAAGACGCTATGTTTTTTCCTAAACTCCCGGACGCAGAACACACCACCGTGCTATTAGTGGAAACTTCTGCTCCGCTACGCTTCCCAAATTCTTACTCTACGAGTTGCGAATTACAGGGAAGGCGCAGCGTGCGCTATAAACTAGAAAGGTAGATATTTACACTGCCCTACCAACCGGCGGGGATCTAGTAACACTAAGCAGTGAGCTGCAATCGCAACTCCCAGGCTCCTCGGTCACTAAAAGTGTGCAAGAGAAAGAAAGAAGAAGATACCGCGGGTAGATACAATACTAGCATGATAGTAGTAGAATAGTAGTAGAGTAGCGTATCTCCGTACATGACTCCGCGCTCGCCGTCGTCTCCCGCCCCGCGCGCCCCGCGCCACAGAGCACCTCGCGACGATCTTTTAGCAGAAACTCAACAAAAGAGGCTAGATCGACGAGGAATCGGGGTGTTTCGACGGGACAACGGTCCTTTAAACGCGGCTATGGTTTACCCCAGAATCGGGGTCTGCTGGAGGTCCCTCCGCGTGGCGGGAGCCTGCTCCTTGCCGGCAGAAACCACCTTCTCGGCTACTAAGTCTATTAATTTTTCTTTAGTTGCTTTACTTGGCACGGGCGTCGATCGTTTCCGCTATGAAATACATGGACGCAGATGGCAACCCCGTCAAAGAGAGACCGAGCAGCACTACTGGGACCGGGTGGGGTGAAATCTCTAGCTCGGACGACGACTCGGACTCCGAGCCCTAAACTGGAATCCCGCTGGTTCCGCCGGCCCCGCCGGCCGCCCGTCGCGCGCCCACTGTGCGGTTATAGGTCCCCCTGTTGTGTCGACCACCCCCCCGCACCCCGAGGCCTCTCCAGATAGGCCGGGCGCCGTAACTGTGTCTCGCATCGTGGCTAGAAACTCCGGGCACCCAGAGCCCTATACTGGAACTAGAACCGTTCTAGTTTGTTCTAGTAGACCCCGAGGCTCCGCGGCCGCCGCCGGCGGCGGAACCGCGCCCAGAAACCCCCCCCTGCGCTGGAGGGGGCCCCAAGGGACCCGAAACGACCCCGACAATTTTGGGTCGGCAGCCGGGGGCTCTACTCAGGCGCTGGGGGGGGTGGGCGGGGCCCGAACTAGAACGCGTCGAGGTTCCCGCGTTCACACCCCCCCCGGTCTTAGGTGTGTCTACTGGACCTGCTGCCCTGGGTGTTCTGGCACCGACGGCCACCCACGGCCCCCGGGTCATCGGGGCGATTCTTGTTTCTTAGGAGACATGACAATTCTGAATTGGCCGAGACGAGCGGCCTGGGTGTGCATCGCTCGATCCATCCAGCTTCACATCAACTGCAAGTACATGGTGAGTTAAATCTCAGCAGCGTCGTCAGCTATCTCTGCCACGGCAGCGCCGTGTACTTCTGCCATCTGTTCCTCAAGACAACTCTGCTTTGCGATTTCCAGGGCAGCATTGTACGCTTTTTGCCGAAGGAAGATAATGGCTCTATTTTTTTGTTGCAAATTACCACGATACTTTTCCCGAATTGAAAGCACATTCACAGTACCCTTGATGAAAGCAGTACGCCAGTCTAGCAATTTTCTCTTGTGTTTTCCCTCTTCGTTGAATTGTGACGCATTTTCCAGACGACCACGCTCAAGAATCTTGATGCCTGCATCACTTGATAACTCATCATTTGATCAGTCAGCCTTGTATTTTTATCTGGGCTGGATAAAGTGACAGCATGTTGAGTCACAGCTTCTACGTCAGTAGCTGCAAATTTAAGCGCGCCGCGCTTTGATTCGCGGTTGGCTTCCAGCTCGGGGGTGATGAGCTTGGGGCCAAGCGCCTCTGCGCGTGAATTTGCAATCTCCTCTAATGTAGCTTGATGCTCCGGAAGGTCCGTGGCTCGGGAATTTTTGAAAAGAACGGCACGCACCGCTGCTGCACGGTCTTCCCTGCCAGGTTCAATTGATTCCCAATTCTTGCGTAAGGCATGGCGCGCCTTCTCCTCCTCAGCGTCGTGGCGGACGTGCACTCCTTCTGCAGCGGCGTAGAGCGTCAGAAGCCAATGAACTTCCATCTCATCTACCTGGTTCTGCTCAGACAGGTCATGATGACAGGTGTCGTGGTTGTGCTCCACCACAGCAGGTATGGCACTGCTGTTGTGGGTGTAGGGTTTGGGGGCACAGAGGGTTTGATCCACTTGAAGAATGTCTGAATCAAGTTCTGCCTCAAGGACAAGCTGAATGCTAAGCGTAGCTTCATTTGCTACTGCAGAACTTCGACACTGCATTGGCCAGAAGCAGGGGATGCAAATGGTGCGCATTCCACTCCGCTCAAGTATCCTGCATCCCTTTGAACCATTTGTGTTTTTCGCTGCTGATATCAGAGAGTCCTTGTCACTTTTTGCGGGTCCAGTAATAGATCGGGGTATTTTTTTGGTAATCTCGTAGATGCTAAACCTCACAGCAAGACGTTCGTCCAATGCACACTTGTTTACGGTTGAGTCACTGGTATCTCGAACTTGCGTTATGTCCAGGCTGATGTACAGCGGGAAGCACACTGAAGGCACGTCAAGTATATCACGAAACAAGCGCAGATTTTTATTTGGCTCATAGGATGAACCGAAGCAGTATTGGATAGCATCGACTTCCTTCATCTCAAGCGACGGTCCGTCTGACTGGTCTATCATATTTGAAAGCGCCAAAAGAGACCAATCACCGATCCCAACCGGCTGGGAGCGGGAAGCACAAAGAATGGCTGTAATGACAATGCCGCTACCACCCCTTGGGATTCGCATCTGCTGGCTTCTGAGCAACGGATGCGATGTCGCAGCACTAGTGTCTATGTCAAATGTGTGTAAAGTCACACTTTCAGCTGCTGAGAGATCCGACAGCCACAATTCAATGTCAACATCAACGAACAAAGACTCAGCTGG